CTGAGCGTTCGTCGCTATTTGAGTAAAGTTGAATCTCTGGAGCCATGTCGCTTCGACGAAGAGGAACACTATGAACTGTGTGAGGATATTTGTAGCACACTCGATCCAGATGTAAAATTTGCCTGCGACGCTTTGAGACAATCGTCCTTTCTCAAGAATATATTGCTACGCATGTGTCATCCGATAGTTAAGGCACATTTTGCTATTGAAGACAAGATAACCACACTTGAGTCAGCAATTCGTTCTTTAAAACAGCGGTTGGACAATACTTTCGATGCCTTCAGCCTCATCGATAAAGTAGAACTTGAGCTTGGACGGTGCCACATCGAATTCGATAAATTGCATGCAAGTTTCATGAAAGCTTTGAACGAAATACAAGACATACTCGATGCCAAGGTCAACAAATGTCAAATGCTGCAGCTGAAAAACTATATCTCCGAACGATTAGATATAATTTATGAAAAACTGAATAAATTGGCGAGTGAAGGTCGTTGCAAGCGCGCTTGTGCTATCGTTTTCGAAGATACGAAATCCCAACCCATTACGAAGCAAAAACAGAAGAGCAAGTGTGAATGTGCGTGTGTACCATACTAAGCATCAGGTGAACAAAAGTTGCAGGATCGCATAAAACGCATAGACATTAGACGCGTGTAGGTGAATTTGGAATCACATATCGGTTTAGTACTCATAAAAGTCACTAGATATGTACATTGGGGTGGTCCTTAAAAATAAAATGAACGATTTTTTTCAGTCTCACCCCTTCAATCACACCACTGTCATAGATATCACATATAAGTTTTGGTCCCCATTGGAGACGGTTAAGGCGAGTCGCAAAGCGGTCAAAGGCGAGATGCCTCTAAGGACTCAAAAAATTTAAAATATGTGTTTTTCATTTAATGCCCAAGACTGATACTACTAAAGTCGAGGATATCACATATAAATTTTAGTCTCGGTCGAAGTCGGTTAAAACTTCGTTATAGGGTAATCTGGACACACCTTAAACGACTTCAATCGGGACCAAAATTTATATGAGATATCTTCGGCAATGTTAGCATCGACGTAAGGGTTGAGGCTTAGGAAATCTGACGTAAAAATTTGCTCCCTACATTTAAAGACCACCGTAATGTACATATGTATGTATATATATAAGCAATTGTAATCGATATTTAGCTGAATATCAACTTTGTTAGCTCATGACGATTTGAAAAATTTTTTGCTACATTTTGTGTAGCATTTATGTGAAAATATGCTGGTCGATAATCATTTATATTTTAAACTAGCTTTTGCCCGCAGCTTCGCCCGCGTGATGTTTGGTTTAACGTAAGTCTTTTAAATGTAACAAAGAGGGAAATAAATCATTTCACCATATACATAAATATAAAATCTTTTTTTAAAAAAAAGGTTAGCAATTCATCCGTTCGTAAACATACATACATTTCGTAAACAGCGTTTCGGGAGTTATTGGCTGCGTTTCTTTATACATTCCGGATAATCCCATTTCACAGCCGGAATAAACAGAATACGTTTGAAATATACGTTAACATATCATCAGGAACGTTCTAAAGAATAAGTAAACAAAAAAGTTTATTCCAAACGTTCAGAATGAATAAAGAAATTCAGCCATTGTCTTGGGCATGTAGAGTAAGTATATTTGTGGCTCTCGATACACGTGATAAGCCAACGTAGTTGTCGGTGCGAGAAACATGGAATGCCCAGATGTATTCCTGCAACTTTAAGTGTTTATCCTTGGCTTTATTAATCGTTTTCGCGATGGCTACTTTTAATGGAAACTGCAAACGTTTAAACTGAAATGGCAGGTTTGCTGGGAATTCATGGTATCAATACTGATTATTCTTTGGTTCCGCCAGTGATGATAGTCTTGTACCACCGCACAATCGAGGTGCACCCAGGTTAAGCATCAATATGACTGGCCCCCCAACCTTTAATTGCAGTTTATGGGACGGCACCTCTGAAAATTCTTAAGAGTTTAGAAACTCTATAGGATATATTGTTGCATCAGCATTTGCTATCACTGTATCAACAGACATGTGCCTCACCAGACAGTTTGCCATGCGGTCCTCAACAATCTCAAGGAGGTCTGGAGCAAAGAGCCCGGACTCTCTTTCACAGGATGTTAGTTGTGAGGTTCAATATTTCCACCTTTGCTCACAATGGCCGAGCATTGATGCATATACTTATCTCCCTGCCGCAGTGACATACTTGAAGACACGTAGCGTCTGCTGAAAATCTCCCGCGTGCAATAGGACTACCTCACTAATCAGCAAACGGCTGCCGCGGATATCTTGCAAGCTTCGTTTGAGTGCCTCGGCTGTCTGCTTGTGTGACGTCGTACATTTTCCCAAACTATTTGTATTGTTGCAACATAGCCCCGCCATTATTGTTTTACTAAAGTTGTAAGTTGATGTTGAAGCCGAGTGTGCAGCGCTTCCTCCGCTAAAGAAGGCGCTGATATCCCTGAGGAGGCAACAACTAGTGCAAAACTTTTATCCTTGCCCAACTATGAAAGTAGCAAATTCAGCAGAAATGTCTTGCCAGCTCCCCCTGGTGCGTCCAAGAAATAAAGGCCCATTCTGCGCCCTCCACGCGGGTCGCATTGCCAGACGGGGGAATTTTTTCCGTTTTGCGAGAATTTCGAACAAGAAAGGGGTGGCGGGAATAATGGACGGTGAAAATCGCATACGCCGTGCCCATAAATATTGTGCGATACATTCAGGGGAAAGACGTGTGGAACTTAAAGTTTAGTTAAGCGAAGAATCTCGTCCGTCAGCATCTACCTCCAATCATCACTGTGGACGGGAGCAGAAAACGAAATTCGCATTCAGTCGATCGTGGCTCAGTACCGGTAATGCCAGGGCATTTAAAAGAAAGATGCAAGTAAGCAAAACAGGCCAAGGAAAAAATTGAAATAGCTTCCGAAAAGCGAATGACTTCCGTCCACTAATCGGCAGGTACGGTTACCACATCAAGACCGTGGCGTGCCTACAACGAGTCCAAAGATCTGTGGGTGACACTTTAAGACGAGATTGAAACACGGCTGTATTAATTGATCATCGACCAGGTCATGGCAGATCCGGATGTCACCTCCCCCGATTTGACTTCGCGGGAATATTGTGCTTAAGCACCAACTTTTTGAGGCCTTCCTTGAAAAAAGCTCGATAAGTAATATTAATGCTTGGGAAGGCTTTAAGCTCAAGGTTGTCACTGCCAAGTAGGATTCCCAGGAGTCTGTAGGCTCGTATATTGTTGTATAGCATGAATTATAACACATGAGGGAATTGTGAGTTTGTGGAATGATAATTTCGGCCGATTCAAGGTGAAAACTTTTCTGGAAAACACTGTGACCTGCCCATTTTTTTTAGTGTAGGAAGACGCCAACTCGTTTCGCAGCCCCTGGTGTAAAGGTGGGCTTTATATAAATAACTACTACGTTTACCGCAATAAATCGGAGGATAAGTTTATATCTTGTGTTGTGGCTAAACCTCACCATATCATACTTTTCTTATTCCTCCCATAGCTCACCGGACTTAAATTTCTAAGATGCTCGAAGGAGTTAAAGGTACCATAATGAAATGAAAATGCCCCACCGGCATCATTGTTTGGCTAGCTAAGGATTTCTAATAGGACAAAAACTTTAACTCCTAGCACTGAAGCTTCTCTGAGATGAGCACGTTGAGTTTCTTTTCGATTATCACTAATCTGTTAGTTTGTAATGCGGTTAGCATCCCAACATTCATGGGTGGAAGTGCTCGAAATAATGCTAATTGGTAGTTGTGGTGTGGAAATCTTGTTCAGATAGAAAACTGGTGGATATATGAAACTCCGTACTAAGCCTTCTCCAAGTAGAACTTTGGAGAAAACTTCTGACTAAATGTTTACAAATAGAAGAAAAGTGTTCTTGTTCCGACAGGACAGTATTGCATCCCTTTTTGTTGGAGTCAAGTATCCAACTTGCTTCTGCAAGAAATCTAAGGAAATTATTTCTTAATCAATCAAAACGGCAATAGTTGTTACCTGGTTCTTCAGAAGTCCTTCGACACCACTGAAGACATTTGTTGCCTCTCTTAGAACTTCTAAGTACTTGGCTTTCATTAGATGGTTGGCCATGGTGGCCTTGCCCTAAACGGCAACGCAAAAGTCTTTTTGGTCTAAGAGAGACAGCTAGCGGTTTCAGGATATATGCAGACAGCTGGTTTATGTAGAACCTAATCAAACAGAGCCTACAATAACCACTACCAGCCACACTATGGTAAAGATAAGAGTCCTGCTTTGGCTTGAGGATGAAGGGGTATCTGAATATATTCAGCTTGCATCTCAGCTGAGGGTTGGTTGAGTATTTACACCTTTCCCATGTAGTCGAAGCGGTTTGAGTCAGAAATGTATCTACATAAGTACTATGTACAAGCGCTTTAGCATTTATTTTGAGGCATGAATGTATTTGGGCCATCAGGGTTAGAAATCCTTTGAGCTGTCGTATCATATTTATATACATACATATGCGTGTATGTATATGACTATATTTTATTCGTTGATTCAAGTATACATAAGTGTAAGTATGCATCAAAACCGGTAATAACTCCTGCAGTGAAAAGCCAAACCAGTCTGTAAAAATACCAGTTCCTTAACTAGTATGTGCTAAAGCGACGGCCTACCAGTTGACAATTTCGAAGAACTTAAGCGTTCAGCGATATCTGCCTTTGAATTGCTAATACCAAACATAAAATGCAATTAATTGCTTTTCAATAATTATTTCAATTTAAAAATAAATAATCAATTTGAAAATGTAATTTGATCGCAGAAAAAACACGCATTTGGGAAGAAATACTTGTGTCATAAAACAAGAAATTAATAAAAAATATTTTTTTTATTAAATTTAAAGATTACAATAAAAACCATAAATAAAAAAATTTCCCTGCGCCAGGGAATGAACCGTGGACCCCAGTATTACCACGGCAGTGCTCTGCTTTGTCGGCCATTGCGACTGAAAAAGGATGGAACGTGAACTAGTTGGGCTGGAAAGCAAACAGGTAGTATTTTTGTTCACAACTAGTAGCTTTCCCTGCAGGGACCATAAAAAAAAATCGCCACAAACGAGGATGCGAATGATTATAACAAAACTTAAACTCCAGCT